TAGTGAGTTCCAGGTCAGTCTCAACTACCTAGTGAGACCCTGTCTCAAAAAAACAAACAAAACCAAACAAAAAAAGGACCAGCCTGGGTTACATAGTGAGACCTTGTCTCAAAAAACATATAATAATAATGATGGTGATGATGACGAATGATATTTGCAAATAACTTATCAATCCTACATTCTTTAAATCATTCCTAGATTACTTATAATACAAATACAACATAAACACTATTGAAATACTGTAGTTGTTCTTCTGTATTGTTTCAGAAATAAAGACAAGAAAAGTCTACTCACATTCAGGACAAATGCACTATTTTTTCAGACTTTTTAATCTTAATGTCTGCAGTAGGACTTATTGACATGCTTAGTTTTTAGGGAGAAATCAAGCAATGGTTTCAAATGATGTGTTCATTTTACTTAGGTTTTTTTTTTCTTTATTGTTTTTTTCTTTGGGTTTTTTTTTTTTTTGGTACCAGGGATTGAACTCAGGTCCTTCTGCTTGCCAGCCAGGCGCTGGAACCACTGAGCTAAATCCCCGGCCCTATTTTCTGTAGTTATTAAAAGTAATATAACATTGCCTCGCAAGTGCAAGGACTGGAGTTTGATCCCAGTACCAAAAAAAAAAAGTAATATTGTTAGGGAAGGAATTGGCAACAACACACAGAAAGGCAGCAGAATGGTAGTAAAATAACAAAAGTTTACTCTGTCGATGGGGATCCATACCACCTAAAGGTGGTGCCCTGATCCATCCGCCACTCTTTTATAGGGTTTTACAGCCTTGATTTCATTCAGTTGGTTACATTGCATTTTCACAGTTCACATTGCTGATATGCAAAACATGGTGGTGAGGCAGCTGAATTTCAACCCAGGTATAGTTCTTTGTTAGGGGATGTTACCTTTAAGATTTATTTAATTATCTATTCTAGCCAAGGGGAAGGGAGCAAAGCTAACAATAGTTCTTTTCATTTACAAAACTTGAGGGACCGAGCAAAGGGCAGAAGCTGTCTTACGTTGTGACATTTCCTAGGTTTTGCTGTAAAAGTGTTCTTTATCAATTTTAATAAAATTTGTAAAAGGAAGAAAAATATTGCTAACCCAACCACATTTGTGCAACTGTTTGAATATTTTTCCTATTTCCACATATATTTTTACATATTGTATTCATAACAGCATAGTCTAGTTTTCATTTAATGCATTTTAAACATTTTCCTTTTTTACCTAATTTATTTTGTACTTTTATTAGTACCTCTTTGCAGTATACAATCACACTCATCATGGCGGGTTGGTACATACACGTAACACACCTTAACTCTTTCTGTATCCCTTCCCCCTCCCCATCCTCCCTTGCTCCTAGGTATTTTGATCCAAAGTTCGTTGAATCCAATGATGAAGAGCCCTCTGATACAGAAGATCCCTAGATTTGAAATCATGGCTACACAACCCTTCTTTGGTCAAAGTCAGGGCACAGATGGGAGACAGAAGAGCTCTGAACATGCACATCAGGTCCCTTGGAAAGACTACAATGAAGCTGATAATTTTGAATCTCCACATCCCACAGAATCTGGCCAGGAGAACAGCTCACCACCCACCCCACACACAGACATAAAACCTGACCCAAGGAGACATGTGTATGTAACAAAAGGATTACAAGACCAGCGTGAAGCAAATGTTGGGTTGGGCCAGGTTTTGCTTTCTTTATAAGAGTGCACTCATCACAGCTCTGGATTCAGCATTGCTAACTCAACAGCCATTTGGAACTCCAAAGTGTCTGGGGTCTAGGAGCCCTTAGACACAGAATAGTGAAACTACTGAAACAGAGAGAGCCAGAGCGGCAACCAGGATGGCCTGAACCACTGGCCAAAGGCTTAGGAAGTGCATGGGAGTGAAGTGTGTGGTTTCACCACATGTAACTGCTGGTATTTTCACTTGAAAAACTACAATTTAATATGGCTCATTCTAAAAGATAGGCATCTTACCAAGATCTTGCTTGATTTGAATACACAGAACACTGGATCTAGAGGAACAAGGGAGGAGGTAGGCAGGAAGGAAGAGACACAAACACTAGACCTAATGACTCAAGCCTGACTAGGATCACCAGGGTAGTGACTCCAGTTTCATATGGTCTTCTGAGTGTGGCATCTTGAGATTTTTTTTTCCAAGTACTGGAAATTGATCCAGGGCCTTTGCACTGAACTATATCCCCAGTTCTTTTTTTTTTTTTTTTTTTTTTTTTTTTAGACAGGGTCTCACTGTGTAGTTGAGACTGACCTTTAACTCACTATGCACCCCGGGCTGGTCTTGAACTCACAGCGATCCTCCTGCCTCAGCCTCCCAAGTGCTGGGATTATAGGTGTGCATTACCACACCCGGCAACCCCACATCTTTAGGATCAAACTCAGGACCTTGCACTTGTGAGGCAGGTGGCAGAACCACTGAGCTAAATCCCCAGCCCCTGTTTTCTTCTTAAACTTTTATTTTGACATAAAAATCTTACTGTCATTACATTGCCCAGGCTGAGCTCCAACTTGGAATCCTCCTGTCTCAGCCTCCCAGAGTGCTGAGATGAACAGATGTGCACTACCATGCCTGGCTTGGATTGGTATCTTCAGTGCAGAAAATCAGTGCAGCTACAATACCTGGAAAACTATTTTTCTTCTATTTTTATTATTTAAAATAAAATGAGAAGTTTGTTTTTACCAGGCAGTAATAGCAATACACCTTCACCAAACTCACTGCCCCCATCATAAGTTAGTTAGGGACTTTGATTACCTCAACATTCCATAAGATGACAAATGATCCAATGTACAGTGTCCTCTTTACCCTAACAATGGGCTGAAAATACTAAATAGAAAAGGCCAAGAATAAACAATTCCTAAGTTTTTAAATCACAGGCCCTTCTGCATAGCATGACGAAATCTCACACCTTTCTGTCCCACCTGGGAGGTGAATGGCACATTGTGCTGCGTATCCACCTTGTGTACACCACCTGCCCATTAGTCCCTGCTATAGTTGGGATCTTGAATCTCCCCAAAGGCCCATATGGGAAGTGATGGAATCTTTAGTGGGGCTCAGTGGAAGTGAGGTCATTGGGGATTGCCCTGGAAGATGTCCATCATCCCTGCTTGTCTCTGTCTTCCTGGCTGCTGTGATGTGACCCTCCTCCTCTACCATGTGCTCCCACCACGGTGTCTGGAGCTATAACAGGGCCAAGCTACCGTGGTTGAAACCTCTGAAATCAGGAGCCAAAATAAAACTTCCTTCTTTTTAAAGTATTTGCCTCAGGTATTTTGTGACAGTGACAGAAAGCTGACAGTAGTGCTCAGGGTTAGATCAACTGTCAGTGTGTTACACCGATGGTGTCAACTAATGCTTCCATAATAGTCTACCACTATGTCTTGGGGCTATAGCACCACCTCACTTTATCTCACTATGTGCCTTATTTACCTTCCTCATTGCTGAGACAAAATACCTGATATCCAAAGGGGAAAAGATTTATTTGGTTCACAGCTTGTAGAGGTGTCAGTCTACAGCCAACTGGCTCAAAGGCAAGGGGGGCATGGCAGAAGGGAATTGCAGAAGAGAAACAGTTCATGGCAGGCAGAAGGCAGCAAAATCAAACAAGCAAAGTAGCAAACAAGCAAGCAGCCATGAGTAGCATCTCTTCTCTCCCTTTTATATTCTGTCTAGGCTATGCGGCTTAGGGCAGGTGCCTATCAGTGGACTAATTTAGTATCCATACACCCTTAACCCCAGCATCATGTTCTAGATCCAGCTGTTGCAGAAGGAATCGGTAAGTGACACACACAGAGATGCAGAATGGAAATAAAATAATAAAAGATTTATTTTGTCTGCAAAAGGCCAACCACTCCAAGAGCAGTGCTAGAGTCAACCCCCCACTAGGTTACAGCTCCTTCTTTTATAGGGTTTTACAACCATGATCTCATTCAGGTGGTTACATTTCATTCTCTCAGTTCACTTTACCAATATACAAGTCATGGTCACAAGACAGTTAACTTTAACGCAGATGTAGCAATTCTTTGTAGTTAGGGAGTTTACCTTTAAGGTTCCTCTAGCTATCTATTCTAGCCCCAGGGAAGGGTGTGTTCAAGGTCAGGAAAGCAAAGTTAAACAATTGTTCTTTTCACCTTGATACTTTTAGTATCATGTGGCTCACAAAACTTTGGAGCTAGGGTCTCCATGTGCCCTGTTATCTCAGGATGAGCCCAGATGTCCCATTCTATGGTGTCTGTTAATTTTGAACTAAACAAAGCAGATTTCAGTTAGAAGAGCAGAAGTCATCCTACATTTTCTTAACATTTTGTAGGTCTTTGGTTATTTACAAAAGTTCTATCACAGCCACTTCTGAAAAAGCTCTATCTATGACTGCATGAGGTTTTGGGGGACATCTAGACCCAAGCTGTAGCATTGCACCCCTGGCCTCCCAAAAACTCACACACATCCCTTTGTGCAAAATGTGTTTAGTCCGTCTCCAAGAGTTGCCAAAGTCCTGTTTCAGCACCGCTGAAAAGTTCAAGTTCAAAGTTTCCTCTGAAATTTAAGGCAAACTTTTAGCTGCGAGACCCTGTACAAACGAAAAGAAAGTTACACACTTCCAGCATTCAATGGCACAAGACGGACATTTCCATTCCAAAGGGTACAGATAGAGGGATAGAAAGGAATGGGACAAAAGCAAGTCCAGAATCCAGCAGGACAAACATAAAGTCCTCTAGTCCCGTGTGCAGCATTCTCAGCCATCTGTGGCAAGATGTAAACTCCAAAGAGCTTGGGCGGCTCTGCCCCTGTGGCACTGCAGGTAGTTGTAGCTCACACAGCTTCTCCCTCATTGCAGTTTTCCTCAGATGACCCACATTCCTAGTTTCTCCAACCTTCTGGGGTCTCCACTGCACCTTCAGCTTCACATGCTGCCCTCTCAGGGGCACCCTGCCTGGCCTCCCAGGCCTTCTTCTGAAATCTGGATGGAAGCCTTCCTGACCCCACAGCTCTTGCATTCTGCATGCTCCTAAAACCAGCACCACGTAGATGAAGCCAAGGTCTGCTGCCAGCTGCAGCCAGGCTGTAAGGATCAAGTGCCCACGAACTGAATCCCAAGAAACAACTTCCCTAGGCGGTTGCCATTCTGGAACATGCAATTTTGAGGCTTCAAAGGGTGGAATCCTGCTCGTTTTTGTGAGATCCTCAGGTCATCTGTGTTTTGGGGAGGTTGGGGTTGAGACACGGTCTTACTATGTAGTCCAGACTGATCTCATACAGCAATCCTCCTGCTTCAGTCTACTGAGTGCTGGATTACAGGTGTTTGCCACCACGCCCAGCCAGGCCATCTTTTCCACTGCCCTCTTCCTTCTCAGCAATTGAGTTCTCTGCTCTATCTTTGCAGTTCACAGTTTTATTGGTGCTTCCTTTCTGGCCATTCTCACAGTGTTTTAAATCATTCTGCTGGGCTCTTTGCACTTGATTCTCAACATCAATCCAGCTAAGAGCCCCAAACAGTAGGCATGTCACTGCCCCAACGTTAGACCGTCTTGAAATTTTTCCTGCATGTAATTAGTCCACCACCCTTACTCTCAGTCAAGCAAAGTCTCTGGACATGAGCAAAACGCAGACAAACTTTCCGCCAAGGCACAATACGCATTGTCTGGAATCCCAATGCAGTCCAATGCAGTCCTTCTTCCCAGCAGAAACCTGAACCTTATCGTCACCAGCTTTCTGGTCTTCTGAGCTCTGACCAGAATCTCCCATACGGTACAGCCTCAGGTATTTCATGGATGCCTTTTCAGCCAGCATCTGTGAACCTTTCCAATCTCTTCCCACATGCCAGTTCCAAAGGCTCCTGAACCACATGGTTCGGTGAGGATTGTAATTGTAATAGTTGCTCCTAATATGGTTCAATGTAGTATAATGTTGATAGACTTAATAGTGATTCTTAAGTATTGTTAAACTTGTTCTATAATGTTCAAGTTATGAAATGTTATGAGTAAACATCACCCAAAGAAAACTTGCCTTCTACTCAAGGGAGGGAATCAGTGCGCTTCTGTTTATATGCAGGATAGTTATAACACGTTAGGCATAATTATGAACTTGTCTTCGTATCTGGAGACTATAGTTTAAAGAAATGTGTCAAGTTGGCAAGGGGTGGACTGTGATAGTTGATTGACTGTGTCAACTTGAGTAACACCCAACTAAATTGACTCAGCAGTTTTGAGTGGCAGGCTGGTTCTGAGCAGAGCTGTGTCGTCTTGGGTTGGTGGTTGCCCACTGCCTCCCTGGATGATTTGGTGGACACGGACCACCTCCCTGGGCCTGAACCTGGGCTTCACTGCAGCTGGCAGAGCACCAGGCACTGGCTCCACGCTGATGAACAAGACAGGCAGGGTCACCACTCTCAGTGAGTTGATGCCAAATTGGGAGGCAGCCAGAATCAAATGAAATAGGTGTAAAAATGCAGCCATGAGAAAGAAGCCATCAGGGCCATGTGGGGATGGACGGCCTCCTTGTTGGGACAGTATAACTGGGCACAGATGGCCTAGTTCTAAGGGCCACGTGGCTCAGTGCCCCCTCCCCTTCTGCTTGTCTCCGCCCTTAAAGAGTGAAGATTCTCCAGGAGACAAGAAACTGTGTATTTGGTCTGCTTCTCCTCATGGTGAAGGGTGAATCCAGCTGCCTTCTTCCTTCTGTGTTGCCCTCCTCCAGCCAGGCTGGGCTACCCTGTGATGGAAGATAAATCTTGGCAATCCCAGAAGAAGCCTGTACTCCTGTCCTGCATGTGGGAGACCTCTCACTCTTTCGTTCATATGTCTGTCTGACCATCTGTCTACCCACCATCCATCCATCCACTCATTCTCATCCATCTGTCCATCCATCCATCCATCTGTCCATCCGTTCTCCCATGCATCCACTCATCCATTCATCTATACCACCCACCCATCTACCTATCCATTTGTTCTAATTTTTTTTTTCAGAACTTGGGCTTTCACATTGAACTTTCAAAAACAATTTTTTTAAAATTTTTGAGACAGGAGCTTGCGTCCTCATAAAGGTACCCCAGAATGCCCCCATTCCTTCCCCCATGCGAGAACACAGCAAGAAGGTGCCACCTGCAAACCATGCAGGGGGCCCTCACCTGGCACCAAATCTGATCAAGTTCCTTGTTCTGGGCTCTCAGCCTTCTGTGCAGTGAGGTATAAGTTCCTGTGGTTTATAACCCTGGGCAGGTGGTTTTCTGGTACAGCTGCCCAAATGGACCGGAACAGTGGCCAGAGGACTCTACCAGCTCAGTCAAAGGACGACTACGTTCCTCCTACAAGCACCTCTCTCTTGTTTTGAGAGAAACAAATTTCCATACCAAATAAGGTGGTGGACTCCAGAGCCGCTGCCCACTTCACACAATTCCTTTTAAGTGTCCAAATCCAATTACACTTGGAACTCGCCTAGATTCAGCCTCCCCCAGTTCGCAGAGTAAACAAGCAGCCCAGCTGGGCCCCAGCTGCCTGCCCCCAGGGAGGCGGCCAGTGGGTCGACACCCTGCCTGCCTCCAGGCCAGCCTCTCACGGCCGGGAGTGGCCCGTGAGCCTCCAGCATCCCAGAGTCCCCTCCCTTCAGAAGCCCCCAACTGGTCTGCACAGGCATCAGTCCAGGGCTCCCTCCTGCTCTTGGACCATTGCTGGACAGGGACAGCAGGTTCCTCCACAGGCAGAGGCAGGAGGCTGCCGGGCAGGTGCAGGGAAGGGCTATTTCTGCACTCTGCAAGATGCTCGCAGAGGTATCTCCTCCCCGAGTCTGGGCACCATTTGCTCCCACAGGGAAAGTGTGGAATTCCCTCCAGCTCCTGGGTCATGAGAAAGTTGTGGGTAGCTCCCCACCCCAGGCTCAAGGCCACCGCCCTGGGTCCTGCACCCTGCTTCCCTTTGGGGCTGGCCACTAACTCTTTCCAGGACCCCTCGATGGGCAGGCTGACTCATCCTCCGCGGAGCAGCGAGCAGCACACGCTCCAGGCACCAGGCGCCGCCGCCGCCAACTTCCCTGCTCAGCCCAGGCAAGCGCTGTGATTTTCCACTTGCACCATCTGATTGCTATTAGGGCTGGAGAAAGGGAATTCCTGGTTCCACAAGCCCATGGGGGCCCCAGGCAAGTTCCGGGGAGGGAAGAAAGAATGGGGTGCATTCGGTGCAGCCATTGTCCCTCTGCCAATTCTGCACACACACACACACACACACACACACACACCCCCCATGGAGCCCTCCCCTGCTGCTTCCTGGTTTCCCTGTGTCAGTCCCTCAGTCAGTGGAAACAACAGGGTGGAGATGGCCCCTCCGGTCCAGCCTCAACATGCCCACTGGGGGAGCACCAAAGGCATCAGGAAAGTGGACAACCCAGGGCTCCCTCTATGGGGCAGCCTCACGGAGCCACAGGCTGTGCAGGAGATTAACAGCTGGACTCAGGCCACTGAGCTCCGGCCAATGCAATGTCACCAGGCAGAGAGATGAGTTCCCAGTGGGGCTCTGGGGGGGCTCCTGAGCGGGGCATTCTTTCCTGAAGCCTCATCAGGCTCAGCTCCTCCTCCTCCCCCCTCCCTTTCCCTCCTCCCCAGCCTGGAATTGGGTTTGGGGCGGGTTCTGCTTCCAAAGCCATCTCCTCCTGCAGGCGAGGGCTCGTCCTCCACCCCGAGTTCCCTCATTTTCTGAGGCTCTGGGCAGTGCTTGGACTGGCCTGCTGCCCTGGTGGGTCGGCCGCTGGGAGTCCCGGGAGGAGCCCTCCACAGGGAAGGCCTCCTCAGACCAGGACAGCCGCAGGTAGCTCCCTGGGGCCCAGGGACCAGGGGAGGGCCATCCCCCCGGGATGAGAGTGCAGGAAAATGAGGTGGATGTTGTCAGGGCAGGGAGTGGGCACTATGGGGGCAGCCAGTGAACAGAAATCCCACCTCTCCAAAAGCAGGAAGCCTGGAAGAGTAGGGCTGTCACCTACCAGGGGACTTTGGCCACTCCTGAGGCTCCAGGGCTCCCAGAGACACTGGGGGACTTTCAGAGTACCCCTCCTGGGTGGCAGGCCCTGACCCTCTCCCTAGCTGGCCTCTCCCCAGCCCCAAGCTGCCCTCCATGGCCAGTCTCTGCTCTGTCCTCCTGTGGGTGGGGGCTCCCCTATCCCTCCCCCAAATTCACACCCAAGTGTGCTTTCTGGTAGGGAACACCCAGCAGGCAACGTCCCAAGCCTGGGGAGAGGTCCCCGTTACTCTCACACACTACCACTTCCATGAGGGCTGAGCCCCAGCCTGGCTTAGGACAGCAGACAGCCCCAGATGGATACTCAGGGAACCACCTGGGCAGCCATGGGACACTGGGCAGCTGTGGTCCCACATTCTCCCTGGCTGGCCTCACTGATGCAGAGTTGGCAGCTGATGAGACTAGTTCCTGGCCAGGTCCTGGTCCTCGTCCATCCAAGTTGTGAGCGGGGGACCTGGGACCTAGAGTGAGAAAACACAGGTTCGCTATGAGTCTAGGGGAGCAGCAGACAGGCATCAGGCTCAGCCAGCTCAGATGGCCATGGGGCAGGAATGAGAACAGGGGCTGGGTCACGGGGGTGGGGGTGGTGAACAGAGGAGAGGCTGGAGGAGGGAGGTGGCAGTGCCATCCTTGTTTGGGGGGTGGGAATCCAGGAGGCAGCCTTGTTGGTCAGTTTAGAGGGAGCCAGCACTGTCACAGCCCTGATCCCCTCGGAGAAGTACATGCATCCTGTACACGTCACACACATGCCTTTAATACGGCCCATCTGGGGTCCACTTGGCTTCTAGATTGCTCTGTGCAGGAGTGAAATCTTTTCAGATTGTCTCCGGCAGGACAAGGACCAGGATACAGAGACACAGATCTAAGTGATCGAAAAGGTGAGCAGGAACCTATAATGCGTGCCACTGTGGGGAATACTGCTCAGCCCTTTACCCTAGGGCTGACGTGAGGGGCTTTCCTGAGTCTGGACAGCCCTGGGGGCAAAGCTGGGGGCCCAAACCTTGGCGTGGTGGTCTTCTGGAAGAGACACCAAGAAGAGCTGGAGCCACGGAGGGGCGTGGGGGACGCTTACCTGCAGCCAGGTAGATCTAGGGTGTAGGTAGGGCTTTGGGAAGACTTGGGCCAGCCCCAGGGAGCACGAAGCATTGTGTACCTGGCCAAGGGACAGTGGCCCGACCAGAAGAGTCCAGATGGTTGGGGGAAGGGCAGGGGCGGTCCGCAAGCTCACCGCACACGCTCAGGCCCAACGCTAAGCCCGGCACAGAGGGGTGCAGACGCCCCGAGGGCTCAAGGCTGTGAAGTACCCAAGGGTGCGCCGGGCAGCCAGGGGAGGAAAAGCAGCGAGGCTCCAGGCGGAAGGGGACCCAGAGGCAACCCAGGGCCCTGCCGAGCCGTCTCCAGCGGAACTGGAGCGCCCAGCTCCAGGAGGCCAAGGGTTAAAGAGAGGGCGGGTTACTCTCGAGGACCGACACCACTTGCATCCAATGACAGGCGCCGCTGCCACGGCCCCGCCCCCGTATGGGAGGAGGGGGCGGACTAGAGCGTTTGGCGGCTGCAGAGAAGGAATTTGTAGGGCGTGGAGCTAGCACGCTGCTCAGCACTCCTTCGAGGGAGGGGGAATCCAGCGGCCTGAGGCCTTTCCGCACAGCCTTGGTTTCCCCACCTGCTCGATGGGGAGTTTCAGGAGATCCCGGGTAGGCTGACCAGTGAGCTGAGCTGCAGCGTCGCCCTCTCCCCAGCCTGTCACCCCTCCCAGGCCTCCCTATCGGCAGTCCAGTTTCCCCTCTCCCAGACTGGAGCCAGGGTCACCGTGGTCCTCCAGGCTTGCTTCCTACAACCATATTATTAATGCACAGATCTGCACAGCTTCAGGGTGTGTGGAGATTGTGAGTCTCTGGGCAGGTGACTTCCCTACCTGAGCCTCGAGCACCCGTCGAAGGGGAAAGAGGGCACCTGCCCGTGGCCTGTGTGAGGGCCACACTTGAGGATGGATGGCAGTGGGCGGGAGGCTGCTCAGCTGGCACTGGCTGATGCTAGGCTTGGTGCTAATGTCACTGATCCAGACAGCTGGGTAGTCCTGCCTTCCATGCATCCGAGGAGAGGAGAGAGACTACATGTTTTAGCAAGTTACAAACCAGAGGCCCAGCCAAAGGCCACCTCCTCCCGGAATTCCCCCCTGTCAAAAATGATCGTCCTCCTCCACTACCACCTGCTGCTGGGACAGAGTGCTGAAACTCCAGCTTTACACTGGGCTAGGACACAAGACAGAGCTCGGGGGCCGGGGATTTAGCTCAGTGGTTCAGCCACTTGCCTCGAAAGCACAAGTTCCCGATTTCAATCCCTGGTACCAAAAAAAAAAAAAAAAAAAAAAAAAAAAAAAAAAAAAAAAAAAAAAAAAAAAAAAAAAAAAGCTAAAAGACAGAGCTCAGGACATGGGGGAGATGGGCAGGGGTAAATACGTGTGTGTGGACAGAAGCAGCCTGGCTTCACAAATCTTGCAAATCAAGTAAAAAGGAAGAACAGAAGGGGCTTCCCCAGTGAGGGGCCATGGGGCTCCAAAGGGCTGGCAAAGTCAAAATGGGGCCCACGGGCAGGAGGGGGCTGTGCCCCAGGGTGACCTGCTGTGGATCCCACCAGGACAGTCCACAGAGCCCTGGGCTTGGAGAGAAAGGGGGCTCGCCCTTCTTCTAAGGTGAAAGCCATAGACACAGGAAGCCCTGGGGTCAGGGGTCTGGTAGGGAGGGGCCCCTGATCCTTCATTGCACCCTCTCTGTACTCTTGCCAGGTGGGCGTGCAGGTTGGTGAGCTGTGGGCGGGGATCTGGACTCACCTGACCTCAAGATGGCTGGAAACTGCTCCTGGGAAGCCCATCCCACCAACAGGAACAAGGCAAGTGTCACAAGGCAGAGGGGTCCCTGGAGAGTATAGTGGGGGGTAACAGACTGAGCCGAATATCCTCCCCCACGTCCCACCTCCCTGGCCCACCATGTGGCCTCCAGCTCTGGACCATGTGGCCTGTTCATGGTTACCTGGTTCCTTAGAGCCAGTGCCCTCATTAGTGAACCAAGCCTGGACATTGGCCACCCTGGAAGTCACTGCCCACACTGTCTCTCATCATCTTTTACCAACCACGAATGATCTCATCCCCTACAGAGGTGGGCAGTTGGCTGCCCACTATGGCCAGACTCTGCCAGGAAGCCCTGGGTGCTGACTCTGGGGTGGCCCTGATGGCGTGAGCTCCCAGATCCAGACCCACTGTGGGCTGCCTGATGGTTGTGGGTTCATCTCCCTCTGCAGACACTGTCCCTGCCTGAGACACAGATAAGCCCTCCAGGGTGACCCTGCCTGCTGCCCTCTCTCTCTCTGTCTCTCTCTGCAGTCACTACTTCTTTGAGCCCACTGAAAAGTCTTTTCTGAGCAAGCTGAAAGGATCCCTCAAATTTATCTGTTGCAACCTCCTCAACCTTGAGGCTTACATCACGGTAGAAACTAGACTCATACCCAGCCCCCAAGATTCTCCACCCCATACCCTTGACTCTTTCCCTCCTCCCCAGGGTGTGCAATATGGAATGGAGAGCAGAGATTGGATGCACTGGGGGCATCTCCAGAAGTCCCCTGAGCAGTGACAGAGGCCAGGGAGGGGCAGGCTCCAGAGTGCATGTTTTACAAGGCAGTGTGTATGTGGGGATAGCAGCCCCTGCCCTGGTGAGTCACCCAGCCTCCCTCTCCTCTGCAGGAGGGGATTGCAGGCTTTTTCCAGCCTGAAGAGCCCTGGAGTGCTCTGCCATCTTGCTCCCTCCCCAGGGTCTGTCCCCCTACCCAGTGGAGCCCGGGAGTCTTGGAAAAATCAACCTCCCAGAAAAGGAAGCATGCTGAGGGCAAGTTAAGCAGTTGGATGTGGGGGATCAACAGAGGCAGACAGAGATGTTCAGTTGATGAAAGTGGGGGAGGATGACAGGTGGTGAGCAGGACCCCATAAAACGCTCACCCTGAACAGCTTGCAGAGTGTCCCCAGTGTGTAGCTGGTGCCTCCAGTTCCTGTGTACAGATTCCCTTGTCCTAAGCCAGGCCAGAAGATCCCTGACAAAGAGTGGTTTCTCAAGACCAGCTTTCTGCAAGACCCATCTGAAGACAGCAGAAAGGATCTTGCCTCTGAACCACTCAGTGTGTGTGTGCATGTGCAGGAATTTTCCTTTCTGTTTGCTTTGTTGAAGAGCCCTGTGCTGTAGAAATGGACTATCCTTGGGGAGCAAGGGCTGGGATAGATTCGTGTTGTCTGCAGAGCTGTAGGAAGAGCAGTTATGTACTCAGGGCAGCTTTTGCCAAGAGGGAGGCACAACAACCCTGAGAATGGAATCAGCTGAGATGGGTTGTTTTTTAAATGTTAACATTGAAAGATCAGGACGCTGCACAGCACAATACAGAGTTCTGACCACTCTGGGGAGCAGGGAGGAGGACCCAGCCCTACTTGCAGCTACACCCTGGCACCACCCACCAGAGCTAGCTGCCCGCCTCATTCAGGATGCGCACCCTCGGGTTTGCCACTGTGCCCACCACTTGCCAAGCTTCGTGCATTTACACGCCTGCCCAGACCCTGCAGGCAGGACTGATATTGAGCTGGACGTTTTTTTTTTTTTTTTTTT